ATGGGAGGTGGGGGGATGGTAAGGTTTGAGCAGTATCATCTGGCTTCAAAGTTAGAGCATGTTGTAGTGATGGCTCTAACCTGAAAACCTTATTCTTAAGTGGCCCTAACATATAATTCTGTTATTTCTGCATGTTCTGCTTGTCCTCTTTTGCAATCTTCCCTCCCACATCAATTATTCCTGCAATTTCTCAAATTTGAGAGGGGAAGGGGCAGCTGCTAGCTTCCACTTCTGGGAATTATTTTGTGACCAAACAGGAGCAACATAATTTTTAGTCTTCTGTCTTCCTTAGAGAATTGAATGGGATTTTCTTGCCATTTGTATTTCCATCTGGCATTCAATAGGGACTGGAACCTGAAGAAAGCTTTTATTGCCTTATTTCATTTTGCAAAGCCATCCCTTATTCTCTGTATAAAACATATTGACGCCATTTTCCATGAAGTGCACCCTAAATATATTTAACTAGGCATTAAATTTAGATTTAACAGGATAGTAACTGCCGCCTAAGTAAATACTCTGAGATAAGGAAATATTTAGTCAGATTTAGCAGTTGTGTGGCAGATGCTGCTCGTATTGCATAATTGTTAATCTCTGACAAATATGGTTTCTTTACTCCACTGGTATTTAATTAACATATAATAACTCTTATTAACCACAAATGAACAGCTCACATGATGCCATGGGAAGAAGCATGTACTACTGCCTCATATAGTTGAGTTTTTCTTATTGCATTCAACTTTCCACAGTAATAAGCTTCATCTCAGCACTGAGTCCTTCACAATAGTGTCCTTGTCAAGGTCATCTTGGACAAGAGAGGAGAAAGCTTCATTATGAAATGTCATCTCAATGCACAGTTATCTCCACAGTGTGAGCTGATTCTCAAAAGCACCCATGCTGGAACAATGTCCAAATGTGTCGACTTTTAAAATTTTGTATTTCAAAATGAGGTTGAAAATGCAATGTGCATGAATAAAGATGCATAGTCCCAGCATTCTTGCACAACTGATGTCACCAGGAACAGTTAGTGGGTAATTTGGGTGTTTCTGTGCATGTATAGCAAATACTGACATGCTGACGCCATTGTATGTGCAGTGAATAAGAGCTGTAGAAAGCTGTTGGTCAGGAATTCTCACTACAGTGTCTTCCAATTTAGCATTGGAAATTTTCATCTCAAAATCCAAATTCAAAAGGATTGCTACTCCCAGAATTCATCACAAGAGTATAGCTGATGTGCAAGGATTACCCTACCTTTGCTAGACAAAAGGGGACTCCGGTAATTAAAGCTTGCATATTCCTACACCAAGAAGATGCTAGTTCAATGAAATATATTCCTCACAACAGGGCTAGGGCTATCTGCATGCAACAACAAGCTTAAGCATGCATAGCCAATGCAAAAGTGCATTTGCATCCACATCCCCATGGCAGTGTTCATGTGGATTTCTATTAATCTGGATGTGAATGTGCTTCATCATTCAAGGCTATCAACAACTATGTGTGACTAAAGCTAAATCAGGGCCACTGGTTTGGATATCCGACTGGCACCAACCCTCAAGATCCAATTTGCATGCTACAATGGGAAGGAACCATTCCCTGTAGTTTCCCACTTGTATATCTCAATCTGTTGCACTCAGTTCTTCAACAATATTACATGTGAACATTAGTAAATCATACTAGCTGAACACTATAGTACTACAAATGTGGTATGCTGGATTTTAACATTGGTCTGTTGCACTAAAAAAAGCAAAACATAGGATCTAGTTAATAACTTCTTCGAACAGATGTGAAATGGCAACAGGTAACAAGAAATCTGCAAGCTAGGTTGTAGGAAGCTTCAAATGAAACTCTGTCCTCTTCATCCTTTCCTCCTGCATGTGTTCGTATCCTGGCTGGAGTCAGATTCCAGACTCTGGTGTTCTGCTCCCATTATCTTTGGGCATGGCTGGCTCATATATGTGAAGACTGGGAAAGGAGCAGGATGTCAACACTGATTGAGCCATCATCATCACAGGCTCTCCCCCACCTCCTTAATTAAGCTCCTTCCTCTTGCAGTGATGCCAACAGTGTGTGAGCTGCTGTGTGAATGATCTTTGGGTCAGATTGGCGAAGTTACTGCAAGGATCTGGGGCTCAGCTGCCAGTGCTGGCATTTGGGGAGGACAGACTGAGCATTCACACTGCAGGCAACTCAATGCCATCATTGTCTCCCCTCCAATTAGACCATCACAGACAAGGGGCACAAGAGAGAGAGAGAGAGAGAGAGAGAGAGAGAGAGAGAGAGAGAGAGAGCGCAAAAGGGAGGGGCTGGTCCAAGGGTATGGTGGAGAGTTTTATCTGTGGAAGGAAAATACAGGAGAAGAGCAATATCTAAGCCTAAAATGCAAATTGCCCAGAAGCATGTTGTCCTTTTCATTAAATGGTCTAACAATTTATGGCTAGTTTGTCAAAATTTTGGTGATTCACACACACACACATTTCTTCCACTCCCTCCCTCCCTCCCTTTTTCTGCCTCTGTTCCCTTTCCCCCATTTCTTCATTAGTTTTTCATTAAACTCTGATGATATTGAGCGAAGGGGGGTATTCAAGTATAGGTAATATTGTGATTACATTGCAGGAAGAGTCCCTGGTATCTTTTCATAGCAGCATACAGAATATCCACAAGCACAACATAGTTAAGTCAGAGCACCGGAGTGGGGTCTAGAGGAAAAAAAATAAGAAAAGGCAGAAAGCCCAGTTTTGGATATAACAGAAGTTGAGAATTCAGTGTGTGTGATAGAAGATTAGTGAGAGTGTGATTTTTAGGTGTGGAGTTCAGATGTTACTTTGGGCTGTTTTCAGATGCTTTGTCCTCTGTGAAAATGGTTTGCCTACAGAAGCAGTGAACAAAGAATATAAACCAGGACAACATGTTCTACTACTGTTGCCAATGTTGCGGTCTGTAAGCTAATTGGGAACTTCAGTGGTAGATGAATTGCAGAATCAGTCTACACATTACAAAGAATAAAGCAATGTACTAGCATCCTGGCTTATACTATCAACCACAGGTAAATGCCAGGCCAGCTATTTTAAATGGTTTCCCTACATTTAATAATCTCTGCACAGAAGAAACTAAAACAGGAGGGTGCATGAAAGCAGAGAGAGGTTTAAAAAGGCGGGATTATATGACCCCCTCCCTGGAGTGAGAAGAAGCATAGTTACTTCTGTCTACCATCTTACTCTGAACAATGTGTAAACAGCTGTGAGCTCTGACTCACATGATACCCTGCACATAAGGAGACAATTAATGTTGTGGATTAATGAAGCAGTGCAAAGTAAGGGCCAATTTCCTATGACAAACTATCATTAAGGTAGAACAGATGTGTGGGGGCTTGCAACTTCTAGATCTGCCCCTGACTCCCATGTGTTTCAGTTCCTGGCCACGTACAGGTTACTACTTCCTATACGAGGGACCATTCATTCCCTTGGTTTTTTCCGGAGTAAGTAAGAGTCACTCATACAGGAGATAATGTGCATACTCTGATGAATGCGCGCAAGCGGGAGTCTACGGCTCCTTTCCCAGAATGGAGCCAGGCCGGGTCGCTGTGACCCAGGGCACTGCTCGTGGTGGCCACTTGTTCCTTGCCGCGGCAGCGCCCTCCTCTCATGGGAGACCCATCTCCCGGCCCATGCGCCAGGAGCAGGAGCTCGCAGTTCGGCGTCCCTGCCCCGTCCAGGGCGCTAAATTGCGGCAGCCTGCCCCGCGACCAGCTTCCTCACGCCTGCACAGCACCGCGTGGCTCACCTGCGCGGAGCGCAGAACTTGCCTGCGGCGGCTGCGAGGCCGCGCTCCAACTTGGGCGCTCTTGCGTCCCCGGCGCCCCTTCCCAAGCCTCCCCCGGTCGCCCCCCTCCTTCCCAGCCCGACCCCCCGATCCAGCCCCTTTCGCCGCCCCCCGCCCCAACTTCCGCCGAGCGCCGGCGTCTCTCCTCGCCTGCGCCCGGGACCGCGGCCCCGGGGGCGCCTCTCCTCGCGCCCACCTCCCCGCTCCAGGCTCCGCGCGCCAGCAGCCTGCCCCCGGCCAGTGGTCCCTCCACCTGGGGGCCCGCGGCCGCCCAGGAGTGGTTGTCGTGACAACCTCGGGAAGGCTGGAGGCTGCTATCGCGGCGGGCTGCGGCGTAGGGGGCCAGCGGCGTGCGCGGGTCCGCGAGGCTTCAAGGAGTGCGGCGGGGAGGAGGACGGGCGCAGAGGAGGCGGGAAAGCCTGGGAAAGTCGGGAGCGCGCCCCGGAAGCGAGTTGCCCGAGAGTCCGCCGAGGAGACCCGCTGCCTCTCCTCCTTCGCCGAGCTGCGCGCCCGCTCGCCTCGCTCCCTCTCTCTCCTCCCCTCCCTACCTCCCTCCCTCCCTCCGCCTGGGAAAGTGGGTTAGGAAGGGAGCTGAGCGCGCAGAGACTGCTCAGCCGCCCGCCGGAGCAGCAGCAGCACGCCCGCCGGAGAGGAGGCGGCGGAGCAGGCAAAGTCCCAGCCCGTCGCCTCGGGGGTGCGGGGAGGAGGTCACTTGCGCCTCGGGAGCGCTTTTGGACCGCTCGCTGTGTTTGTGTCCGTCTCTCCCTCCTCCCCCAGCACCCCACCCCCCGCGGTCTGGCTGCTTTTCTCTCTCTCCGACCCTCCCTCCCTCCCTCCCCCGCCCCTCGTTCTTTATTTTTGGTGAATATCAGCCCTCTCCCGCCTTCTTCGGTTTGATCGCCGTCCGGGTTGCTTTTGGAGAGACTTTAAAGAAAGAAAAAGACTTTCTCTCTCTTTCTGCCCTGCTCTGCACACACGCAGACACGCACACCCTGTCGAAATACATCGAAAGAGGGAGCAGTAAAGCAGCCAAAGGGAAGCAAGAACTAGATTGGGGAAGCCGGAGCGAAAGAAGCAGGGCGAGATCTGCTCAGGCTAAGAGGCAGAGTTACACGTTTGGCGATCGCTTCTCGGATATTTTCTCTCGCCTGGTGGTCCTGTCCTCTCCCTCTCCGGGCATAAATCTGTCCTCCTCCGAGCACCGACACAGAGAGAGAGGCAGGAAAGTCCGTCCTTCGCGATTCCAGCCATGGTGGGAAGGGCTCAGCCCGATCGGAGACAATTCCCGTTGGTCCTACTGAGATTGCTCTGCCTTCTCCCTACAGGGCTGCCGGTCCGCAGCGTGGATTATAACCGAGGCACCGACAACATCACGGTGAGGCAGGGAGACACAGCCATCCTCAGGTAGGGGGCGATCGGCCAACTTTTGCTCATCCTTTATCTTCGTGGCTTCCGCTCGATGGTCTCGAACTGCTGGGGGACTCGCGTGTGCCCATGTACGTGTGAATGTGGCTGTGCCTTGGGCTATGTTGGTATGAAGCTGATACTGATCCATCGCGCGCGCGCGCGGCAATTACGCCCTTCCCAGACCTCTGGGAGGATTAGCAATTTTAGGGACGTGACCACAAAAACACCCCCCCCCAAAAAAAACCCACCCACGTTGACAACCCAGATATACCAGTTGACTCGAACTTTTGCTTCTCAGGTTCTGTATTAACTGTGTGGCTACTAGTAAAAAATGAAGCAAATAACCATTTACGTCTAATAGACCACACCTCCTAAACGATGCCAATTCTTTGGTTATATTTAAGTAGTTTGGATGGAGCCCTTCTATGAAAGGGGCTTGTTTTGATGTTGGTGTTCCCAGTTTGCCCCGGCCATCTCTACTACTTTATTTTCTCCCTTGCTTGGTTTGGATAAGAATCTTTAAGATGAGAAATGTGCAACTTGCCCTTGAGTAAAAATGGGTGAAAACTCTGCAGACCACCATTTAACTAGAAGGAGTGGGATATGAAAAAAAAAAACCTGTCCACCCACCCATATCTTTTATAGGTAAAGGACAAGTTTCTAGAGAAAGGAGCCATGGAGAATATTTTCTCCCACCCTCTCTTTATGATCCCTTGAAATTCAAGCACTGGTGAAGTGATTTTTGTCCTCCCCACTCCAGTTCTTGTAAAAAAAAGAAAGAGCGAAAGAAAGAGGAAAAGACAACAAATATAACCCTTTTCTCTTTCAGTGACAGAATTCATTTCTGATCGGAAAATCTTTGGGTACTTTGAACTGATTGCTTTAATTTGCAAGGTGCATGCTTCTTTGTTGGGTGACTCCTCTTGAGTTGTGACCCTTCTTGCCTGCTTGCTCTGTTGGCTTCCCTGCCTATACCTGACAATGAGATGTGCAGATACGTTTGGTTTGGGTGGCTGGTAGTGGGGTGCTATATCTGAAAGAGTTTTAGTGTGTACTGTCTTCTCAAAGCTGGAACTGTATTAGTTCTTGAATGAAAACTCTTCCATTCATTTAAATAAACCAACTTATATCACTGTAATCTGTGCCATTTAAACTAGCATAACTGCCCTGCTAAAGAAACTACTCTGTGTGTGTGTGTGTGGATGAGTGTGTGCATTCCACATCCTGTGGCAGTAAAACTATTGGAGATGATTTAGAATAAGTATGTAATCTATGCAAAAAGCTGATGGTGCACAACCCTCAAACAGCCAGGGACCAATTCTCTAGCAAAGCTAATGACAGCAGCAAAGTTTTCACTCTATTCTTCTGGAATTAGTCTTAACTCTGCTACATGAGCTCTTTCCACTGCTCTTTCCACTTTAACAATTGGGTTATTCTTAAATTCATACCATATTATGGGGGGTGGGGGTCTCCTTTTCCTTATGGAACTCGTCACTTCACTTTCTCTCTGAAGATGCTGGATACAAGAAGACAGAGCATGGCATGTTATCTTTAGTCCTCCTATTTCAAGAGAAAATATTAGTTCATGAAGGGGAAGGATTTTAGCATGCAAAGCTAAGGAGAGCATGTGTGTGTGTGTGTTTTCCCCCTCTTAGATCTCATGAGCTGTGAGTGTTCTGATCCTGGAATATCCTTTCAGTGGAATCTGTCCCTTAGCTCTCCAGACTTGTTAACTTGCATGTAAGGTTTATCCACACAGAGTAATAGGATTTACTGAGTAATTCATCTGCCTTGCATTGGTGATGGAAAGCTTTAGCCGAACTAGAAACATCTACAAGTGCTGCTGCTGCTGACTCTGGAGTACTCTGCCCTTGTGCCCAGTGGAGATTCATGCTTTCTTAAACCTCTTTCAGCAGGGCTTTCTTTTGCTTACTTATCTCCTTCCATTTTAAAATGCATGGTACAATAATTCTACTGGCTTGGTCTGCCTGCTTCCGGTATAGCACAGCAGGTACTATGCTCAGCTCCACTATGTACATATGGCAGCAGCAAAGTCATTAAGCTCACTTATCCAGCTAGGGGTCATTGGATTTCTATTTCCCACTTAACCTAGCAGCCCCGGAGTTTAGCTAGAGATACTTGGTGCTCAAAATGCAATTACTGTGAAGATAAGTGTAGCATAGCTTGCATGGAAGTGACGTAGGACATGCATGGAAAGATGTCATTCTTTTGTGTGAATTATCAGAATGTGTATATGTAATTTTGATAAGTATGCTTTGTTAAATATATTGGTATCTAATTTATGTCGGCCTCCAGAAGGGAGAGAAACTAGGCAATGCATATTGGCATCCAGTAGAGAGAGACATTATGCAGAAAAAGGTAATGCTTCCATCTTCTGTAGGCAAGTGTATGTAAACTTTCAAGCCCAACAATTTAAATAAGATAACCAACAGAAGGCATCAGAGTTTCAGCATAATGAATAAAAAAATGTCTGCAAGCTTTGTAAATTTGCCACAGGCAAGACTCCAGTTCAGACTTTATCTTTGTCAGGAGTTGCACATAAATGTGCTCACTTAAAGCAATTATTTCAAGGATGTGCTCTGCGAGTTCTCCAGTCCACAAATGCTAGGAAATTTAGCATTCACAAATCTTTTGCTTATCTGCACAGCTGGCAGAGATAACTGTAGGTATGGTGTGGCTGGTTTTATTCTAGCCTTGTTCATGTGATTATTCGGGAATAAATGAATGTGTGGAAGGGGATTAGAGGCCACACCCACTTGCCTGCCTCAACTCCCTTACACCTATTTTCATATAATCGGAATGCATATATCCCATACATATGTCTGGACCCTGAAAAAAAAAGAATATCTCTTATTGGCACACAAACATGAGTGAACAGACTGGACTTTTGTATAAGTAGAGCTTAAAAGCAAGTTTTATTTCTGAACAGGACTGTTTCACCATGGCATTATCATCACAGAAAAGATACTTTATTCCTGGTCTTTGGGAAATGTGGATTAGCACCTATTAGTGCCCTTAACTAACTTTTCCTCTTTAGGCTTCTGAAAAAGACCTGCGTGGTTTGCTATTTCAGGCCCATCATTAAGAACATCCTGTAAATTTTTACTTTATGTTTGAAAGGCTGTGCTGTACTTGTTAAGTGCTATTCAAGAAAGTCCATATCTTGGGCCTGAGAATTATTCAGCAATATTTTATTTATTTATTTTATTTTTATTTATTAAAACATTTTTATGCCGCCCCATTCGCCGAAGCCTCGGGGCGGCTTACAACATATTACAATATAATATGGCATGCTAAAGATTTTATGACATAACCCTGGCATCAGATTCTCCATGAGCTAGAAATGAAGCAGAAGGTTCTAGGGGACACTTTTCCACAGTAGAATGCACAGAAAGTACCCCATTCCCAAAAACATGTATGCCAAGTCAGTTTCAGTAGCCACAGCTCCACCACCTCTGCAGCTGAAGAGGTCAGCCTACGATCTTCATCATCTGAGACTATGAGAACTGCATTTCAGAATTTGTAGCCAAGTCAAGTCCTCCCAGTGCCACTAAGAAAGTCAGAGAGGACTCCTTAACACACACATGTGGGATGCAGGTGGAGACAACAGGCTTTGCTAGGCTATAGACTTTTGAAGCTTCAGACAACTCCTCATGCAATGGAGAGCCTGACTGGGTCAGAAAAGGCCTTGAATGGAAGAGCTTTATTTGCACACCATTTAACACATGGCATATCTTTGGAGAGAAGGGCTGTGGCTGCCCGGCTGATGGTGGGGGTAGAGCAATCATTTCCCTCCCTTGCATATTAAGGGGGGCATTTGAACCCTCCTTATCTTCAGTGAATAACATCTGAGGTTTTGCTGCTTCATTGTTAGGATTGTATGTCCTCAGGTTCTAACTGGAGCTGTCCAGGGTCCTGCACTTCCTCACACCCTTGCTTCTGCTTGAGTTCCCACTCCTGCTAGTACTACTGATCCTGCTTCAGTTGCATCTCTGTTGCAGGAAGAGCCAACCAAGAGTTGGAAGGTAGAGCTAAACTTGGTTTCCACCTTTGGGTTATCTCTGTCCAAACTAGCCAGGGTGCTGGTTCACATGCAATGCTAAACAAGCCAGAGACCCAGCACCTCTGGATTGTTCCCTCTTGAAGCAGGAGCAGTTGTGCAGCATGCATGAGCCTGCTCACTTGCAAACCAAGTGTTTTTTATTTGTTTTGAATCTATGACATGGTTGTTATGATGGATGAACTAAGTCACTGTGTTGAAGAATATGCACATGTGTGTGCTGCCTCTAAATACAGGGGGGAAACATATTGTAACTATATTTTAAGTAATGCAGCATTTAGTGTAAGATAGTGCTAAGGACTCACATTTCTTTCTAATTCAGATTGCACATTATTAAGAACTGTAAGATAAATTTGGGAATTAATTATCAAATATATCTGTATGGGCAAAATAATTTTGACCATAAAGGACAACTCCATTTTCTCTCAGTATAGTTGTAACCATTGGAGGCATGGTCTATGTTGGAACTGAGGACAGAAATAAATAAGAAATGTGTTCTTCTAGGAATAAATAGCATCAAAACTCTTGAGTTTAACAACGTACAAAAATGAGAAAATATTAAACATTTGTCAGAGCTTTATGTATTTCTATCAGATGCAGTTATATAGCTATGGAGACCATTTGACATGGAGAGGGGGCAGTTGCCCTGGGCCCACACATGGACGAAGCCATATCAGCAGTGTCAAAGAAATGCTGTGCTTCAGTGTTTCAAGTGTCGAAATCCTTTACCTTCCGAAGCAGAAACACTGATCAGTGAAAATGGATTACTTCTGTGCTTTCACAGAAGTGCTTCTGTGCTTCTGTGCTGGTCACTGACTTCAGTGGAATAACATACTGCTACTGTGTTGCTGTTTTACCTGTATACCATGAAGTTCTTTGTCCTTCCTTCTCAACAGCCCCAGCTCAACCAAAGGTT